GAAATTGAGGGATTGTTAGAATTAAATTACAAGTTCTGTGCTTAGTGATAAAGAAATCAACATGGATTTGTAAGTTATAATTTATTTCATCAAATGTTAAATGTTAAAGGTGCTTGGATGAGAAATTATGAGAATATTCCGGTATGGTAAAATTATGAAAATACCCTTATGTTGTAGGATGACAAGAATTGTCCCTGAAAGTTGGTTAATAATTCTAAAAAGACATATTGATCCGATATAACTACTGATGTGCATAAGAAATGTTAGTTTTATTTGGAAATTTCGGATAATTGGTTTTTAACCCCTAGAGGGTTTGTGCAAGATATTATAATTCTATTAAGGAATCATTTCAAGATAAGAGAATGTTCGGGAAAGCAATTGATCATAGAATCTCTAAATTATAAGTTACACGTTTAAAAGTTTTAAATTTTCCGTAATAGTGACACCTCGGATCGAATCTGGTTACCCTTATCGGTCTGAGTGAGTTACAAATCTAACGATTTCAGTGGTTAAGAAATTGTTTTTATCTTTTGAAGTTCTTAATTCGACCACCACATATGTAAGGATATATGCGTTAATTGTCAAATGATTGAGAGTCTTTAAATATATATTATTTTGTTTCTGAATTATAACAAAAATATCATTTGAAATTCAAAATAAATATATTAAATATTTAAAAAGGGCATTAGCTTATTTTTCTAATAAGATATAATTTTTATTTAATATAAATATTAACATATATACATTTAATTTTGTTTAAAAATGAGTTACTTATGGTTCTTTTTTTCAATAATTTATTGTTTTCTTCCCCCCCCCCCTCCGGTTGATCATCATCAATCATCATCGTCATTATTCTATCTTTAATTTGTAAAGAGTTAATTACATCATATGTTCTCAAAATATGATTCTTATTTTAAATTGGTCCTTAAACTTTTAAATATTGCAATTTCATACCCAAACTACAACCTATATTCTAAATTAGTCCCTAAACATTTTGAACATTTCAATTCCATCCCAAGCTATATGTACATACTAATCGCATCCTTTTTAATAAAATCGGTAGACCAAGTTATATTATTATACGTTTGAAAAAAACAAAATTTAGTTTAAACTATGATTGAGACTAATTACATATTTTGATGACTTTAGGGATGAAATTGGAATATTCCAAAGCTTAGGGGCCAATTTAGAAATAGGGTCATAGTTTAGGGTTGAAATTAAAATTTTCAAAAGTTTAAGGATTAATTTAGAATGGGAAGTTTAAGGATGAAATTAGAATATTCAAAAAATTAGGGACCAATTTGAAATGAGATTCATAGTTGGGGGACATATGATGCAATTAATGCATTTGTAAATGTAGCATAGGATGGATAAACATTAACTGTGGGGAGGGGGGGGGGCTAAAGACGAACGTTGGCCGTTTTTGTACCTCAAGCGGAGAAGATGGCTACACTTTTTTTCTTTCTTTCGATTTTTCCATTTTTATTTTACTTTAACAAATTCAATTGTAAATTTATGAGGAACTTCAATGATAAAATAAAATATTATTTTTAAAAAAAATTCAAGTTTGAGTATCTAAGTTTGTAAAGTATATAAATATTGTTAATAGATTAAAAAAATTCTAAATAAATATTACTTTTTAATCACCATAAACTATTTAAAAATACTTTTGAAATTGTATTAAATATTGTGTCAAGCAATTATTTTTTTAATTTTTTAATAAAATATTTTATTCACAAATTTTAATATAAAATCTTAATATAAATTTTAATATCGAATTCATAAAAATTACATAAAAAATCTTATAAATGAACTTAATTAGTGGCCTAAGTGGTAAAGAGAATATTATTCTCTTTAGAAGACCTAAACTCGAATAGCTACGTCTATAAGTATATGTTGTCAATTAATTAAAAAACTCTAAATAAATATTATTTTATAATCGCCAAAAATTATTAAAAAATATCTTATAATTGGACCAAATATGCATAGATTTGCTTTGCTGTCCATTATTTCTTGGTTCATTGGTGCTTTGCCTTACGTGGTTTAAGCTTGGCCTTTTAATTTGTCTTCCACTGCCTCTTCTCCAACAATAACCACTCCCTAAAATATCTCTCAAACTACATCAGAATTGCCCTTTCCCAATTTCCTACCATCCTCTCCCAATCTCAAACACTCATTTTTTCTCCCTCTTGATTGCTCTTTTCTATATCTTAAATGCATTCGCCATCTGGGATTGTTGGTGTTTTTTTAATACGACTACACGTATTTTTAAATTTATTAATTGAAGATTAATACCGAATTTAATGAGGGATATCATTGATAAAAGAGAATGTTGTTCTTTTTAAAGGTTTTGAGTTTGAACATTTGTATCTATAGGTTGTCTTATTAAAATATTATATTACATTGTAATCATTCCAGACTATGAACATCGATATCGATCAAATATAAATTTCTAGATAAAATATCTCGTATTGGAGTAGAGCATTGGACACGTGGACATTGGTATCGGCATACGTACAGAGCTAACGCAGTCGCTATTATATTTATGTCTAAGGGTCGATGAAGTACTGAGTGTAAACTTCATGACTTAATAGATATATGGAAAATGATAAGTGAAGGACATAGAGGACCACATTCTCCTAGATTGCCCCCCATTTTTTGCATGCAGCTTGTGGATAACTAGATATCTATAAATCCATATCTACACGTATTATGTTCTCCGGGTAAATCATAAGATGACAGCCTGCAGTCCCTTATCCAACATTAAACACACAACAGTGCCCGTCCCTTGTTATATATATATATATATATATATACAGAGAGAGAGTTATTTATTAAGGTGTGTTTAGTTTATAAAATATTTTATTATTAGAGTAATAATTTTCTTTGAAAATTATTCTCGTGTTCTGTTGATGGTAATATTTAAATTACAATGGATATAGGAGTTTATCTCTTTTGATTTGAATGAAAAGTTACAATCGGTGATCATATGAGAATCATGAGTAGAGGGGAAGAGAATAGTGTTTGACCCCTTCTTTAGTCGTCTTCGATGACTTAAATACTGACATTTAATATTAATATTAGACCTAGAGTCATGATGATTATCTGTAAATTGGTAGATAAATAGGTACGAATATCATATGGTAAATTTGATAATGATTGATTATGTGAACTTGTCAATAATTATGTTAAGAGATAATAACTAGTCAAAGGATGTGAAACCTCAAAGACTATAGTCAACAAAGGAGATCCTTTGATTGATCATCAAAGTAGTGGCAGTAAGGATGTAATTTGTGGATGAGATCCAAAGGAGGTATTCGAGACTTTGATAAAGTGGTTTATTATATAAATAGGTTTGACTCGAGACTTGTGTGTGACAACGTTTATTGCATTTAATGAATCACTTTTCAGAAATTGTTATGATAATTGTCTTTTAACGGTAGGATGCCGGTACACATGTCATCTTATTATTGGTGTAGTCAAAAGATATAGTTTTCTCCGTCTATTTATGGGAAGGTCAAGGCAAAGTCCCTTATTTCTTTTTCTTTTGCATTTGTTTTTTATTCTGCCATAATATCTCTATGAAACTTTTTTTTTTAATTTTCTTTTAAATTTCTGGTTGTAATAATGAAGAAGAGAGTCATAAAAAAGTGAGTAAGTTGGAAAAGAAGGTGGAAACGAACCGATCGTCCCTAATGGCCAGTAGTTCATTCACATGCAAGATTGGTCACAAGGTCAAGCATCTATTGTTAAGTTGTGTCTCGAGATGATAAAACTATAATCGTTCGACTATAGGATATTGTTTTGTTGAGTCTCTTGGCTATTAAAAGTTATAAAATGATCAATCGACTATAAGAAGTTGTTTTGTTGAGTCAATTGACTATTAAAAGTTACAAAATAATCACCCGATTATTCATTATGTTCTAAACTTGTCATTTTTTTGTTAAAAAATTAACGGTCATCTGAGCTTGACGTTAACGTGTTGACTAGATATGATAGTCGTTTGAGATCATGAGATCAGATTTTATCATATCTCAGCCAGCAAGTTAACGTATAGTTCAGGTTATTGTTAATTTTTAACTGAAAATGACTAGTTTGGAACATAATAAATAGTCAGATGACCATTTTGTAACTTTTAATAGTCGATGGACTCAACAAAGTAATTCCCTATAGTCGGGAGACCATTTTATAACTTTTAATAGTCAAGGGACTTAATAAAATAATATCCTATAGACAGGGGACTATTTATGTACTTTACCCTTTTTATAAATATATTTTGCACGAAATATATTTGATAATGAAGGTGACTTAATTTAATTTAAGGATAAACTATATATTTAGTCATTTAACTATCACTTTAGTTTCATTTTGGTCACTCAACTATTTTTCTCAAAATCATTTCAAACGTTTCGTTTTAGTTTCATTTTGGCTACTCACCGTTAAAAAAATTAATAGAGCAACTGATGTGACAATTTTTAAATTTTTTCAATAATGATGTGACTTTACCTTATGGTGACATGTCAATATCACCGTTAATTTGTTAATGGTAGATAACCAAAATAAAATCAAAATATAACGTTAAGTATAATTTAAAAAAAATTGAATGACCATAACAGAACCACGTACATAATTAGATGACTAAATACATAATTTACAATTAATTTAAATAGATAAAAGTAAGAAAAAAAGGCAAATTGAATTGAGAAAATGAAATCGAGATGTGAGGTAAAAAAAGTAAAAATATGCGACGTGTACATATGATTTAAAGGCGTAAGCAACCAAATAAAACCTCATTAAAGAAAGACCAATTCCATCTAATTATAACCGTATTTCCCGGTTCTGTCGGTCACCCATGTCAAGTATTAATCCCCCACATTCTCCTTCCTCAAGCTCTCACCCCTCCCATTTTTGCAGAATAAAAATTTAAAAAAATAAAGAAAAGAGGCGTCTCTTTCTCTCTCGGCCAACGCAATTCTGGTGGCTCCCAATTTAATCTGGGTTTCTTAATTAAACATAAATTTGTTTTTGAAATCATCAAACATTAACACGGTTGATCAAACTAATGGCTGCGTTGGGGGAGATCATGGGTCTGCTGAGGATTCACGTGAAACGGGGAGTAAACCTTGCCGTCCGTGATGTCCGTACCAGCGACCCTTACATTATTTTCACGATGGGCAACCAGGTTTTACATCATACACTTTCAAACCTCAATTTACTCTGCTCTTCCCATACCTTAATTTTATGTTTCTTGCAGACATTGAAGACTAGAGTAATAGATATGGATGTTAATCCTGTGTGGAATGAAGATTTAACTCTTTCCATTACAGATCCTGATATGCCAATCCATCTTGTAAGTGGTTTCTACATTGCATTTAGCAGGTTGCCATTAGAGGTGTAAATAAATTGGACCGAATAAGATTATATTCATATTTGTTTATTTATCGTTAACATTATTCGATATTTATCTGTTTGTTTTTAAATGTATTACTGTCTGATACGATTAGTGGTTTAATTATATTCTTTTAACATTCGTCAATATACATGAACATATTCGTTTATATGTCTCGAGTACTCTAGACAACCAACGGACTCTTTTTACTTTTTTTTAATTTAGAATTAAAAAATGGTGAAATTATACTATTCGGTCCTTAAGCTTATTAAGTGTTATCATTTAAATTTAAGTTTATACTATATTCAATTTAATTCATACTTTCATCAATATATAAAATATAAATATAAATAAAAAGAAAAGCGGGTAAACGAATTTACAAATGAGTTAATAAACAAACTGAACACACTCCTATACGTGTTTGTTCGTTTTTGGTCATTCACGTTTATTTAATGAACAATTCAACAAACGTTCTACTTATTTACGCCCCTAATTGCAATCCTTTTTCTGTGATTGGTATCCAGATTGTGTACGACTACGACAGATTCAGCATGGACGACAAAATGGGTGATGCGGAGTTCAGTATTAAGACGTTCATACAAGCGTTGAGACTGGACTACGCAGACTTCCCGAACGGAACGATATTATCGAAAGTGCAACCGTGCCGGACAAACTGCTTGGCAGAAGAGAGCAGCATCGTATTGAGGGAAGGGAAGGTTGTTCAAGACCTTTGCCTCAGATTGAGAAACGTGGAGTGCGGTGAAATAGAACTTCAACTCGAGTGGATCGACCTCCCTGGTTGTAAAGGCCTTCGATAAACATTGTTCCCATCCTATAATTAATATCCTATATGTTCTGCACTTGTATTTCTATTAAAAAAACAATATGCTCATTGGCTTACACATGGGATTGAACAAGTCTTGGTTTATCCTGCCATGCCACTGTTTTTGAATACCAAATAAAGTAAGTACAATCTATTATTATCTACTCCAACTCTCTTATCTTTGCTGAGAACTTCTTTCAATACATATATATTCATTTTCACATCATCTGGTTATGGTGATAGAAGAAAAAATAAATTAATATGGTTAGCTAAAAATAAGCCAAGCGTAAATAAATCGAGTTTGAACGAATAGTGTTATACTTGTGATTGTTGTCTATTTTTGAAAATGTTCATGTTTGATTTGTGTTCGTTTAAATTTTCATTATCATATTCATGTTTGTTTATTTTTAAATGTATTATTGTTCATTCGTTTAGCGTTCACCAATATATTCATTTAATGTTTGACAACCAACCCTTCCTTTTTTTAGCTTTTATTTGCAAGCCAAATAAATATAGTGAAATTATGGCACAAGTCCTTTAGTTCCTTAGATTTATTATTTTGAACTCCAGAGTTCACTTCATGCTCAATTTAGTCCATATCTTTCATCAATATTTAAAATGTAAAAAAAGAAAAAGAAAAATGAGAACCGAGTAAATGAGTCGATAACAAGCTTATAAATGAGCCAAAAATTAGTTTGTTCGTAAATATAAACAAACCGAATACATCTATGTTCGTGTTTATTTGTTTATTAAATGAACATAAAAATATTATTCACACTCATTTACTTAACTTAATAAACGAACGTTATACGAATGATTTTCGATTAGTTTGTCGGTCACTATGTTCACACCTAGAAGGCTAAAAGTACATAGAAGTTAATAGTTTATTAATATTCTTGGAAAGCATAACCTATGCTGCAATGCGTGCAATTAAGCATGGTGTTTGGAGTGAGTGAATTTCAAAGTGTTGTAAGATTAACCTTTACTCACTTCTAGAAACAATCCAATTCTCCCTTCATCTTCATTCAAATCCGCCGTACCAGGAATTTAGAAAACTGTATAAAGAAATATTTTCAAAATAATTATTTGAAATAATACAAGTTTTGTTTACATATGTTTAAATAGTAATTAAAAGTGTATAATAATAGAACAAAATTAATTGAGAAGAAAATTTTTAACCATCAATATATAAAAGAATAATATAAATTTTATGTTGAAAATTGAAATCCACATTACTATGCATATTGGAAAATGAAAATGTACTAGAATGTAGTGAAAATTTAAAATTATGAAAATCTAGAAACACATTTATTGAAGGAAATAATAAAGAGATAAACATTTTCTCTCTCGAATAGTCTGAGATAATTACGAGGTAATAATTGTTCATGTTTTTTTTATTTACAATGAACACATATTGTGTAGATACGTTTATTCGAATCTAAAACTTTTAAAGAAATATTATCCTTTTATACCATTTAATGAATTCGAAAAGGTTGGCAAACATATTTGGGCGCTTGACTAAACTGTTCATCTTTGTTATATAATATTTCCTTAAATTATAGGTTTTAGATCCACTAAAATCATTCTCTTTCCTTCTCCCGAAATTTGAATTAGATTGAGTCAATTTAAATAAAAAATTATCTTATTTGAATTTAAACAAAACAAAATCTATTAGGTCTATCAAACCGGATAAATAATTTATTCTTTCTACACATGTACTATAAACCAAAAGATCAGCAAACTAATCCTATATAGATAAGATTTTATAGTTAATGCACTGATATAAATAAAAGTTTTTAATGGATAAATTTTAAAATTTTATTTAAGTTTAAGATTATTTTTTTTAAATGAGTGTATTATAATATTAACCCAATAAACAAATAAAAAGCAGAAAAACCCTGTGCTTTGGGGGACTGCAAACCCATAAACACATGCTCTCCCTTTTTCTTTGTTTTTCCCATCATTATCATCACTTCCACCGAGCCTATCATCTTCTTCTTCTTCTTCTCAATCAAGCTTCAACTTGTTTTCTTGATCTGAGTAAGTCAGTTCAACTTATAGCTTGCCAAAGATGATCAGTTTGAAAGATTTCTACCATGTGATGACTGCCATGGTGCCACTTTACGTGGCCATGATTTTAGCTTACGGTTCAGTGAAATGGTGGAAGATCTTCTCTCCCGGTCAGTGTTCTGGGATCAATCGCTTCGTTGCTCTCTTTGCCGTCCCTCTCCTTTCCTTTCACTTCATCGCCTCAAACGATCCTTATGCAATGAACTTTCGTTTCATAGCTGCTGATACCCTACAAAAGGTCATAGTCCTTGTGATTCTGGCGGTTTGGTGCAATTTGAGCAAAAGGGGTTCCTTGGAATGGACCATCACCCTCTTTTCACTTTCTACCCTTCCAAACACTTTGGTCATGGGCATCCCTTTGCTTCAAGGGATGTATGGAGAGTTTTCCGGAAGCTTGATGGTTCAGATCGTTGTTCTTCAGTGCATTATTTGGTACACTTTGATGCTTTTCATGTTTGAATATAGAGGTGCAAGAATGTTGATATCGGAGCAATTCCCCGACACTGCTGGTACTATTGTTTCGATCCATGTCGACTCGGATATCATGTCGCTTGACGGTCGACAACCATTGGAAACCGAGGCTGAGATCAAAGAAGATGGTAAGCTCCATGTTACTGTCAGGAAATCCAATGCCTCGAGATCAGATATTTTCTCGAGAAAATCCCATGGATTCTCTTCGACAACTCCACGACCTTCTAATCTAACCAATGCCGAGATCTACTCTTTGCAATCATCGAGGAACCCCACACCGAGAGGCTCTAGCTTTAATCACACTGATTTCTGCTCCATGATGGCTGGTGGACGCAACTCGAATTTCGGTGCTGCGGATGTTTATGGGATGTCTGCCTCTCGAGGACCCACTCCGAGACCATCTAATTATGATCAAGCTCATTACCACGCACCAGGCAGTGCCGGTGCAGTCCATTACCCGGCTCCTAATCATGGGTCTAAGGCAAAGAAGCATAATGATCAAGCTCACCATAAGGCTGAAGATGGTGTTAGGGACCCTCATATGTTTGCTTGGAGTTCAAGTGCTTCTCCTGTATCCGATGTCTTTGGTGGTGGCGGCGGCGGCGGCGGCCATGAATATGGAGCAACGGACCACAAAGAGGATAGAGTTCCTCTCTCCCCAGGCAAAGGTAACTTTATACTACATTTATGTTTGTTCCAGGAATGGACTGTCTGATCATACTTTGAAAATTTTATAAATTTGTACTATAACATAAAATTATGCATTCATCTACAAATTAATGGTTATATAAGTATTTGCTTTGCTTCGTCTTTCCATTGGAAGAGTACACCGAAAGAGAAGATTTCGGGTTTGGGAATCGAGGATCGGAACAAGAAACGAACAGCCACCGTGATGGTAATGACAAAGCGGGGGATCATCCCACGGGCAACGGCAAGCCGAAAACCATGCCACCAACAAGTGTCATCACAAGACTAATACTGATCATGGTTTGGAGAAAACTTATAAGAAACCCCAACACTTACTCAAGCTTAATAGGCCTCATTTGGTCCCTAATCTCATTCAGGTAACAAATACTATTACAAAATTCGGCACTGTGTTAATCTCTCTTATAGCTCATTGCTTGGTTTATTTTTAGGTGGAATGTACAAATGCCTGCCATAATAGCCAAGTCCATCGCCATTCTGTCCGATGCAGGGCTTGGCATGGCCATGTTCAGCCTTGGTCAGTGATTTTCTTTAAGTACAAACAGTATTGGCTTTATGTTATTATTAAATGTTGTTATAAAGCAAGCACAACTGCGTAAGCAAAGTGACCTGAACAGTATATGGTCATGATGATCATAATAAGTTGGGGTGGTGGAAATGATGATGAAAGATCTCTAAAATGATGGAACATCTATATTCTATTAATATTCGTTCGAGTGATAAAAAAATTAATATCTTTCTGTATGAAATTCGATTCTATTCGAGATTAATAGGGATGGTATGATGTGGCGACAGGTCTGTTCATGGCATTACAACCAAGGATCATAGCATGTGGGAATTCCGTTGCAGCTTTTGCTATGGGTGTTAGATTCCTTGTAGGTCCAGCTGTGATGGCAGCAGCTTCCGTTATTGTTGGCCTACGTGGCGTTCTCTTACACGTTGCCATTGTACAGGTCACTTTGCCTTTTGCCCTTTCTCTTTTACCATCGTTATTTCCTCTTCCCTACTCCTTATCGTCTCACACAACTTAAGCTCCACAACCCACACTCAAAAATTGATCTATTTTATAATTCTAATTTTATTTAATTTTTAGGTAAAGTATATAAAGAGTCTCTCGACTATAGAGATTCTAGATGATTCATCACTTTAAGGTGTTGTTTTATTGAGTCTTTCGACTATTAAAAGTTATAAAATGACAACATATTACTCATATGTTTCAAGCTCATCTTTTTTCTGTTAAAAAATTGACGATCGTCTGAATTGAACGTTAAGTTGTTAATTGAGATATGATAAAATCTGATCCTAGAATCTCAAACAACAATATAATTCAAACGTTTCTAGAATTAAATTTTATCATATCTCAGTTAGCAAATTCACATTCAGCTCGGACGACCGCCAATTTTTTAATGAAAAATGATGAGTTTAGAACATATGTTTATCATTTTTTAATTTTTAATAGAGGGACTCAACAAAGCAATACCCTATAGTTGGAGGACTATTTTATAACTTTTAATAGACGATGGACTCAACAAAGTAACACCCTATAATCGAGGGACTATTTATATACTTTACCCTTAATTTTTTTAGTTGAATTAATTTTATGAAATTTAGAGTTGAATTGTTTGAGTTTCTATTTTAAATTTAATTGCAAATATTTTAATTTCATTTTACAATTGATTTCAATTTAAACAACTTTATATAACCATATACAATATATATATATATACACACACGTATTTTTTTGTATGTGATATACATATATCATATATAGTTGAAGGACTTCACTCGAACTTAAAAACTAATCCACTAATTACTAAAAAGAAATAAAGTTATTCGAATCTTATTTTATAACTCAAAATTTATTTGAATTTTTTAAGCCAAAATTTTTAATATCAAATCAAATTGATAAAAATAATTTTTTTCACGTCGAATTTTAGTCGCACTATATAATATAACATACCATATGTAATTTTTCTTTTGAATAGTCTAGGATAATTAAAAAGTAATATTTGCTCATAACTTTCTTAACCTATTGATAATACATCTGTAAATATAACTACTAGAAATCAAAACTTTTAGAGATAAGAATATTTCCTTTTACCACCCATGCATAATCTAACATGTCCTTCGTTTATTTCTTTTTATTTTGGTTTGCATGTATTTGGGTTTCCAACAGGCAGCTCTCCCACAAGGAATTGTGCCCTTTGTCTTTGCCAAGGAATACAACGTACACCCTGATATTCTCAGCACAGCGTAACTCCTTTTTACACTATTTTTTTTATAATTATATTAATTTTGCTTTTTCTCTGATTATATAAATAAGTTTCTCCTCATTTTTTGGGGTTGAATTGCAGGGTTATTTTTGGGATGCTAATAGCGTTGCCCATAACGCTTGTGTACTACGTACTATTGGGATTATGAGGTAGCCGATGGCACTGACCTATATGTCAACATCTTAATTATTTCATGCTTTTGGGGTTTGATCCATGCCAACAAATTCAAACCCCTTTTCCTAAACAAATCCAAGGATCCACCCTTAACCTTGTGAATTTTTGTTTTTATTTTCCTAGTAAAGTTTGTAATTAATTTAGATCGAATTATGGGAGCGGCTCTCCTAATCCAATTATTCCATTCACAATATCAGGATTCGAACTTTAACCTACTTAATAATATTATATCATTAATCAAGGCAATTAACAGTTTGAGAAGTTTCTATATTACCATTAGAACACACATCAAAAGCAGGAATTGGATAAAGCCATAAATTAAGGGGCTTCCCCTTCACACAAGTAACAAAAGTTTCTTCCTTCTTCCTTAATGCTGAATTAAGGAGAGGAAGCCTTTAGGGAAATACTCAAAAACCATAGGCACAAACATTTTTCAATACTGTGCCATTGCTGCACCTAGCATACGTAGCAGCAAGTTCACCGAGCATCATCGTCGTCTTCATACCCGTCATCTTCATCGGTTGAGGCATCTTGATACTGCTGATACTCTGCAACAAGGTCATTCATGTTGCTTTCAGCTTCAGTGAACTCCATTTCATCCATTCCTTCCCCGGTGTACCAATGCAAGAAGGCTTTCCTCCTAAACATGGCAGTGAACTGCTCACTAACTCTCCTCAACATCTCCTGTATCGAAGTTGAATTCCCGATGAAAGTTGAAGCCATCGAAAGCCCTTCGGGAGGGATGTCACAAACACTTGATTTCACATTGTTCGGGATCCACTCGACGAAGTAGGAAGAGTTCTTGTTTTGCACGTTCAGGATTTGTTCATCGACTTCCTTTGTGCTCATTTTGCCTCTATACAACGCCGATGCGGTAAGGTAACGACCGTGGCGTGGATCGGCGGCACACATCATGTTCTTGGCATCCCACATTTGTTGTGTCAGCTCGGGGACCGTGAGTGCACGGTATTGCTGCGATCCTCTAGATGTTAATGGAGCAAATCCCACCATGAAAAAGTGAAGCCTCGGGAACGGGATCAAGTTCACGGCTAGTTTTCGGAGATCCGAGTTGAGCTGACCCGGGAATCGCAAGCAGCAGGTCACACCACTCATTGTTGCAGATATCAAGTGGTTCAAGTCTCCAACTGAAACAAGATGAAACGAAATTAAACGTTTTCAACAAAAGTAAATGTAAAACATCAAAAAGAATTGTGTTAGTTCAATTACATACAGCTAGGGGTAGTGAGCTTTAGTGTTCTAAGGCAGATATCATAGAGTGCTTCATTGTCGAGAACCATGCACTCGTCTGCACTTTCCACCAGCTGGTGGACTGAAAGAGTAGCATTGTAAGGTTCCACCACGGTGTCGGACACCTTTGGAGACGGGAAAACCGAGAACGTAAGCATCATACGATCCGGGTATTCTTCTCGAATCTTCGAAATAAGCAGAGTCCCCATTCCGGACCCTGTTCCTCCTCCAAGTGAATGACACACTTGAAACCCTGCAAAACTCAATAAAAGTTGCTAAATAAGCATATAAACAAAGCATAACAGTAGGATGTCATTGGGGAGGCAAATAAAAGCACCTTGAAGGCAGTCACAATTCTCAGCTTCCTTCCTAACAACATCGAGAACCGAATCAATAAGCTCGGCCCCCTCGGTGTAATGACCCTTAGCCCAATTGTTTCCAGCTCCGGACTGACCGAAAACAAAGTTATCGGGCCTGAAAATCTGCCCATACGGACCAGTTCGGATGCTGTCCATCGTCCCCGGTTCAAGATCCATGAGAACAGCCCGCGGCACGTACCGACCACCACTTGCCTCATTGTAGTACACATTAATCCTTTCGAGTTGCAACTCGGAAGTTCCGACGTACTTGCCGATCGGATCTATCCCGTGTTCACCACAAACGACTTCCCAAAACTTGGATCCGATTTGGTTCCCGCATTGCCCTCCTTGAATGTGAAGTATTTCACGCATGTTGTGGCTTATGTTACTAAAAAGAACGCTCCCTTCAAAGACTTGAAAAGTGAAGAGATCGTGGTAGCTATTTATACAAAAGGCGTTTCATATTTGAGTTGTGAATGAAGGGTTGAGATTGGGTTTGGGAACCATGATCGGACGGCTGAGGGGTGTCCGACCACCGAGAGCGAAAGAATGTATGTCTAGTAGTGAGATCGGGTTGGTTTGGGGATATAGCGAAAAGATGCCATTTGGAGTAGGCTTAAGCCGGCTATCAAAGAGTAAAGGAGTGTTACCATTTTTTAAAATATGGTTAGTGGTAATAATTAATTATTTGTGGTAAGCAATGACATTGACGCCCCAAGCTCTAAGTCAATGCATCTTAATTTTTCTTCTTGGCTGTGACTAGAGAAGCAAAATCTAAAGATACTTGCGATGCAAAGGTGATGTACAAATAGAGATGGAAATGGATGAGGTCGGGTCGAGTTTTGGTCAATCTGAATTTAACTTGAGTATTATATTCTTTCGTTCGCCATTTGATTTTATATTTTGTTATGATTTATTTTTTTTAAAAATAATATAATTTTCTTATATTTTAATTTTAAATTCAATATACGTAAAAATCTAATAAAAATGACTTGAAAATAATTTGATAATAAAACTAAGCAATTTTGGCCTAAGATATTCCGAATCAAACTACTTGGATTCCAAAGCTAGGTCTAATTAACACGGGCCCATTAAAAAATATATAATCTACAACAATTTCCACCAAGTTAATCCTTTTCTCCTATCAATATTCGCCACATCACTGATTATTCAAAATATAGGTGTTGAATTCATTCAACAAATTCAATAATAATAAAAAAATCCCGTTCTTTTTAGAGGTTTAGAGTTCGAGCGGTGCGTTAGGAAGTGTGTATATTGTCAGTGATTAAAAAAATTCCAAATCTATAGTAATTTGTAATAATCACTCAAACTATTAAAAAAAGGGTTTGTAGTCCAAATGAAATAAAGTCCTAGATAAACTTATGCATATGAAATTTTTTTATTAGTATGAGATGAATATAAGGTAGTATCTGTTTATATGCTCTCAATCATTTGATTTTGAATTTTCAAACACCTCTGTGTACATGTTGCTTAAACCCGAAACTTCAAAGAATAACAATAATTTCTTAACTACTAAAATTGTTTGGTTCATGCATGTATATGAATATTAAATTTGATTTACTTTCTTCCATAATATATATTATTATAGATTTATCTTTTATGATAAATATTATATAACATATAAAGATAAAATAATATATCATAACTTAAAAAAAATGCTCGGGTTCAAGTGTTAAGTGTCGAAGCTCAAGCCCAAGCCCATATCATACTTTTAAAACGAGTTTGATTTTTTTTTTCATTTATTAAAACTTATTTTTGGATAAATATAACTTTTGGTACATAATTTTAGTATTTATGTGTAAAGTGGTATTTTATTTTTTTTATAATTAGATATTTGATTTTTCAATAGTATAATTAGTTATTTAAGTTTTTTCTTTGAGAATAATTTGGTATTTAATAATTTTTAATCACATTTAATTCTGATTGGTTATTTTATAATTCTAATATCATTTAAATAAAATGAATACGTGTAGTTTTAAAAAAAATTAAATACTTTTTTTTTTATAAAAAATGGCAAAAGGGTTAGTTTTGCCCATGTAGTAGACACAATTTATCATTTTCTCCCATATCGTATTTCTACATCAATTTAGCCCTCAAAGTTGCTCAATCGCATCATTATATATCATACCCCTCACTTAAAACCTTAAATTAAGGGTTTTAAGTTAGAGAATAAGATTTAGGGTTTAGAGGCCAAGATCTAGGTTATCGATTTAGAGTTTTAAGTTAGGGGTAGGGTATAAAATGATACAATTAAACAACTTTGAGGCCTAAATTGATGCGAAAATATGATAATGGTGAAAATAATAAATTAAATCTATTACAGGGGCAGAAGTGACCCTTAATTCTAAAAAAAATTGAGCATCTGATTATGCAAAAAAATTAAATATCTAATTACACTAAAAAAAATTGAATACCACATTAGGAGTGCCCAAAATTATATTTACCTTTTCTTTTGGTTGGATTATTAGTATGGCTGGTAATAAATATATTTTAAAACATATACCAAGTATTATTTATTTATATAATCAATTTTCATTTTGTATTCACAAATCGCAGTAGATCTGACTTTTTAGTTGATTCCCCTATCTGTCTCTCGCTCCTTCGCTGCTTCCCGTGAAACAGAAAACGCACAAAAATTGTAAGTTCCTCCTTCTTCTTTTTTCAAATCTCGTTTTCCATTCAGTAAATTTCAATTTCCTATTGCTTAAACTAATCGTACGGAATTCAGTTCCTCTCTAATTCGACCCGTTCCTCCTACCGGTTTGCAATTTTTCTTAAGTTGTTTAATTTCTTTGTCTCTGTTTAATTCTCTTAATTTTGATCCAATTTTTAATAGAAGTTTTCAATTCTAGTTGTCTTTGAACCATTTCTGATTATTGAAGTTTCATGATCTGTAGCTTAGATCATTAGTGTAGTTAAGTCCTCCTTAAATGGAAGTACGAATATGATTTCTATGAATTTAGAACGACGTGATTAGTACATATTGTAAGTAATAGGTTCCAGATTATGGTTATGATTAACAGTGCTTTTGGAATAACTTAAGGTTAAAGGAAGTGATTTTATTGAATAGATTTAAAGTGTAGCAAACTATGAAAATTAGTGGAATTCGGTTCTTCTACATAAATAGGGAAAGTCGTTCGTTTGGCAATTGTTCCGTTTATAAGTTTATTTATTAAGGTGTGGCTTTGATTGCTACTTCTACTACTTAATCTCCGGGTTGAGAATTCTCGCCATGCTCTTTTATTTGTCTCATTCATCATTTATATTATGTTAATCCAGAATTAAAAAAGAAAACAGCGTGTTCAGACACAAATGGAAACTGTGTTTTTGAAGATTTTAAGATGAAAATGTATCATTTAGGAGAGCAAAGTGTATTATTACTTGTACCGTATAAGAACTTTATGCCAGAATTGCTGTTATATTTAAACATTAATAATTTTCAATCAATTGCAAATTTTGCTTTCTACTGTTTGTTTTCTTGTTAAACTGAGGGAAATAGTTAAAGGCAAGTATCAAAACCAATAATCTAACAAATCTCTACAACTTAACTACTTTTCAAGCTTATGGAATTTGCTAGACGGGTTTAGAGAATGAAGCCTGACATGTTTAACATATTTTCAAGCTTCTAGATTTTTTTTCCTTTGAATTTTTTCTAGAGATTGAGAATGGAATTAGAGTGTACTTTTTATAAAAAAATTATTTTTTATTTACTTTTCGCATTTCCCATCCAGAAATGAATTTTCCGTCTCTTTGTGGCTTTCTTTCTTGACAGAACTAAAAAATGGGTAAGACAGAAAACATTAATGGTACTGAGGAGGGAACACTGGAGATTGGCATGGGTAAACTGCTTGCTCTAAACTAGTTGCATGATCATCATGAGAATCCTTGTTTGCTTTTCTTTTAATGGATTGTGATTTAGCTATGAATTGTGAGGTTCGATCTTGAGGGCTGAATTGGTGATAAGATTGGGGTTAAGCTGCCACATGTATTGTGACTAGCAGGAATTGTTGCATGAAAGAAACTGATAAACTAAAAAGAATAATTCTTTACTTTTCTTGAGTTGATTGCAGAATATAGAACAGTTTCTGGAGTTGCTGGGCCTTTAGTAATTCTTGATAAAGTGAAGGCAAGTTTTGTTTTTCTCACTCATTATGTACTATTATTCTCAAGCTTGTTTGGTATGTATTTCAACTCATTATTTGAGGGTTCATGCTTTTTCTAGGGACCCAAATTTCAAGAAATTGTTAATATTCGTTTAGGGGATGGAACAACCAGGCGTGGTCAAGTCCTTGAAGTTGATGGAGAAAAGGCTGTTGTTCAGGTAATTTCTGTCTAAAATTCTCTTACTTTCCTTTGGAACTATGAATTCCTGTTTTATGCACTTTTACATCATGCCAAAACGAATAACATCAACTTCTGATGCATTTATTCTTCATATGCTCTACTTATATGTCTCGTTGGCTAGGTTTTTGAAGGAACATCTGGAATTGACAACAAATATACAACTGTGCAATTTACAGGAGAGGTATGTAATTTCTTGATTTTGTCTTTTATGTTTAACACTTTTCTTGAATCTCCTAATTTGATAAGAAAATATCATACCTTCAACACACCTGCAAAATGATTGAATCTCTGCTTTTCCTGTTGGGAAATTTTTAATTAAGATAGCTGGTTGGCATTGTTTATCTGATTGTATGTGTTTAGACATTACAAGGCATGCTGATATGCAGTTTCTTGAATTTTGACATGCCTGGTTCTTTAGCAGACCAAAAGGGAACTAAGTCTTGTAATTACTAGAGCTTGTAGACATTTTATGTTGTGTAGTGAGCTAAGATTCTCTTTTGGCATTATACTGGTTGTTATTGTTGTAATATTTTATCTTCTAAGGGTGTGTTGGATGAGAAATTTTAAAACTTTGGAGAAATTTTAAAATACTAGCATTTTGAAATGCATCATTTCAACAAAAGGTTAGGACGGATTTAAAAAAAAACACCTATTTAGGTGAAATTTGAATAAGGGATTTGCGCTACCAAAATCCCTTTTTTTAAAAAAAAAATCCTTTTACATTTTAAAGTTCCCTATTATTTTCACACAAACAAGGAATCTCATTTTTAAGATTTTAAAAACCTTGATTAAAGTGAATCATCTCCTCGAAATTCCTCATCTAAACACACACTAAGATTAAAAAAAATTATGTTTACTTCAAATTGCAGATTTAGTATATGGTTCAATCAGCCATCTATGTTTTTGCTTAGCACCATGTTTTGCTACCTTTCAAAAGAATGTAACACAGAACATGCCATATCCATCGAGGAATTATTGATTCTTATTGTCGCATCCAATGTGAACATTAATAACTAGCAGTCTATTACTTGTTTGCTATGTTGCTCTAACTCTTCTCAAGTACCCATGTCCTACACCTTTTTTCAATGCTTATCCGGACATGAGTATGGGGATATGACCCTCCAAGGATCTTACAGATGCATGGAAAAACTTAGGAAAGAAATTAAATATACTCCTGTTGGAAGCATACGCATACCCTGCACATCCTAGTCCAAGTACCTTAGGAAAACTTAGCATATTTTGAGTGCATTGGATAACTATTTCTTTTTTTCCCCTGTTAGTTTTGCTGCTTTTTTTAACTCGTTTGCCTGTATTCGTTCTCCTGACTCTATTTTGTAGGTGTTGAAAACTCCTGTCTCTTCAGATATGCTTGGGCGCATTTTCAATGGCTCTGGCAAGCCAATAGATAATGGTCCACCTATCTTGCCTGAGGCATATTTGGATATCTCTGGTAGGAAGTGTTGTGGAATGAATGATAATTGAACTGTATAAGTTGCTTGCAATCAGTAGTTTGTTAGCTACATTACTTATCCTTTAATCTTTTACTTTGTAGGGAGTTCCATTAATCCTAGCGAGAGAACCTATCCTGAAGAGATGATACAGACTGGAATTTCAACAATTGATGTCATGAATTCAATTGCTAGAGGGCAAAAAATCCCTCTCTTCTCAGCTGCTGGTCTTCCTCATAATGAAATTGCTGCTCAGATTTGTCGTCAGGCTGGTTTGGTGAAACGTTTGGAGAAGTCAGGAGATCTTCTTGAGGTAAAGTTCATGTACTACTATTGGTTGTTTGGTAATAATGTGACATCCTTGATGGTTTGAATGAGTTAATGTGCTAATTGTGAATCAACTATGAAATTTTAATGAAGTTTCTTTCTAGTGGAATTTTAATTTCATAGTATGCCATTGCCCAGTTGCTTGTACCTTTGGAGTGAACTCAAAATTGACTAGACATAAAAAAATAAATAAACATTTTGTAATTTGTGTTGGTTGTTATCTGTTTCCACCAATATTTCTTACAACTGAAAACAGAGCCATATTTATCCTTGATATGGCTGTTTCTTTCTGCCTATCCATAAGTTTATAAAAGCTGATGCTTCACTCACTGATTTCAGGATGGTGAAGAAGATAATTTTGCAATTGTGTTCGCGGCTATGGGTGTAAACATGGAGACTGCACAGTTCTTCAAACGTGACTTTGAGGAAAATGGCTCAATGGAGAGAGTGACCCTTTTCCTAAACCTGGTATAATTCAATTTGAGATACAGAGGCCTTATCCATTTATTTATTTTAAAATGGGAAGGGTGGGTTGGTTGGGAGGTTGCATCTACTCCAAAAATTTATTTATACCTGGAAATTAGCTTCTACTTTCTTCTGTACAGGCTAATGATCCCACAATTGAGCGTATTATTACACCTCGTATTGCTCTCACTACTGCAGAATACTTGGCATATGAATGTGGGAAGCATGTTCTTGTGATCCTTACAGACATGAGTTCTTATGCTGATGCTCTCCGTGAGGTAATGAAAAACCACCACGCCTCATTTGCGCAAACTCTATGGTGTGCACGGCTACTAGATATTTCAAAGATCCATGAAACTTTCATTGATCCTGATTGATCTTACATTCCTGACATTTAATACATGCATTTCAGAAATTTATGAAGCTCTGGAAAGCTTTTATGTGAATGCTGGAAGTTTAGTCTTTATTTATCTTAAATCCATGTTGTTTTATAGAATGTTATGCCATTTGAGTAAGACAGACTACTTTTGCTAATGCAGGTGTCCGCTGCTCGAGAAGAAGTACCTGGAAGGCGTGGATATCCTGGGTACATGTATACTGATTTGGCCACCATATATGAGCGTGCTGGACGAATTGAAGGGAGAAAGGGTTCTATCACACAGATTCCAATTCTTACTATGCCAAATGATGGTAATGGATCTTTTAACTATCAACTTTTTCTCCTCCCAATGTCCTACATGTGACTTTCGTTACATGGAGGGTAGGAAGGGGGTTTTAATGAGGCCTACTATTCTATAAAAAAAAAAACTATCAACTTTTTGCACTGCAATACTTGCTTTAATTATAATTCTGATTCAGAACTTCATTCTCTTTATTTATATATTATTTTTGGCAGATATTACACATCCCACCCCGGATCTTACTGGATATATCACAGAGGGGCAAATATACATTGACAGGCAACTTTATAACAGACAGGTAATGCTAAATGTAGCCTGTAGAAGCTATCAACTTGTGTATCTGGGAGATTCGAAGGTTCACAAGTTATCACCATGATTCTCATCAATTTATGCATAAATTTCATATTTAGTATGGTGTTTTTAATGGGAACTGTATCTCCTCCATCATTGCATTGCGTTAGTAAATTTCTCAAGTTGACATGGGTTGAATGCGGCACATCATGGTGTCTGATGTTGATGGCACGTACCTTGTTTTCTTAACTGGTTGATTTCGAGGTCTATAGCATTCATCTGTTTTCAAAATGGATTTTAGTGAATATGGGTTTCTTCTTTGTATGAATGACAATTTAGTTTTTTTTTTAATTAATAAATTTTCCTTCTTTCTGAATTGGACAGATATACCCACCAATCAATGTGCTTCCATCGCTGTCTCGTCTGATGAAGGTTTGGATAGCACTCATTAGTTGAAGCTTTTGCTTTTTCGGGAGGATAGTTTTCATCTTCCAAGATGAAAAATATACAAACTGTAAATTATTATGAATTGTAACCATTTTTCTTTTCTATATTTTTTTCCTAGAGTGCCATTGGTGAGGGGATGACACGCAGGGATCACGCCGATGTGTCTAACCAGGTACGACTGTATTGCATAATTTCAAATGTTCAATCCTCTGTTTTATGTGAAGGCATCTAACTCTTCTTCTGTTTGTCAATCCTTTAACCATCAGCTTTATGCAAACTATGCTATCGGGAAGGACGTGCAGGCCATGAAAGCTGTTGTTGGAGAAGAAGCGCTTTCTTCCGAGGATCTGGTTTACTCTTTTCCACTTCATTAATTTTCTTGCAACATTTCCTGGTCAAGAAATTGCTTAGAAAGAACCTAACATGATGTCCCTGAATGTAACAGCTATACTTGGAGTTCTTGGATAAATTTGAAAGGAAATTCGTCAGCCAAGGAGCGTATGACACCCGCAACATCTTTCAGTCACTCGATTTGGCATGGACGCTGCTCCGCATATTCCCTCGTGAACTTCTCCACCGTATACCAGCAAAAACTCTCGACCAGTTCTACAGTAGAGATGCAGGTAACTGAAGGAGGCAAACTGATGCCCTTCGATTGTCTCCTCCTCGGTATCCGCCAGTAGAAGTTGTGTATCCACGTGGAAGTTCTTTGACTAGTAAAACAAGTGATAAAACATGACATTTTCCGGTTAGCCCCCCCCCCCCTTTTGTGTTATTTGTTTTTCCTATATTCCTATTTATTTTTGACTGTGTAGATTTGGATTATTATATCTAACACAGACATACTGCATTTAGCTGCTTTTCTTCTTTGTTTCTTCTTTGTTTGTTATGTGATGATGATATCATGATAATAATGCAGACGGAGGATGAGTTGTGCTGTTATGTTGAAATAAACTACGAATTCCAAGGCTCGGAAATTTTGAACCTTGGCAATATGGCCTCAATACCAATGGTTCCTGATGGTGCGTCGTTATTCATTAACCTCGATTTGTTCATATATATTATTTGAAAAATTAATAAAATGTTTCTGTATAGATTTAAATTAATAAATATATAATAATTTAAATGAATAAAAAAACATCTTCTCCCCCCTTCTCACAATTTCCGTTCCTTTTTGCATTTCTTCCTTTCCTTCCAATCTTTTTCCTACGCAAACTGACAGAGATGAGAACTTAGAAGAGCTTGTAACGAATGAATATTTAGACGTTGCATATCTATAGTAACTCATGCAAAGTTTATATCATATTATATTTTTGGGTATCAACGTATTTAGTCCGATCATTCTCACAATTTCGATTTGGTCATCTAACTATTTCTTTTGTCAAAATCATACTTACGATTATGTTTAGTTCACTAATTGTTAAAAAGTTAGTGGTTATGTTGACGAGTTACTATAAAGTAATATCACATCGTCATTGGAAAAAAATTAAAAAATATATCATGTCAGCAATTTTGTTTATTTTTTAATGACAGGTGACTAAAAAGAAATCAAAACGTGACGTTAGGTATAGTGGCGGATCCAGAAATATTTTCGAGATTGTGTACGTATATATATATTAATAACAGAAAATTTTCGTGTGAGGCTGGCACAAATAAAATTTCAGAGGGAATATCATCAATAAAATGAATAATTAATATAAATAAATTTAGGTTTCAATAACGATCAAAACTAAACAACAACAACAAAAACAATAACAAAATCCTATTTTCATATGCAATGGGGTAAGGGGGGGTGGGGTAGTAGGCTGCCCCCAACGCCAGATTGAGAGCAGCTTCCGTGGAAGACCTCCGGCAGTAAGATAATTAAAAATAAAGATAAAATACAATGCATGCATAAATAAATCAATAAATACACAGTTGAACAGTCTTTATATGCAGTCTTCATATGCGCGTCTGTAATGGGAGGTAATCCCTGCAAATAAATCCCTGCGTAAAAAATCTCTGCTTATAGACAGAAACGTAAGTCCCGGTTAAATTTCAAAAGAGGAAACAGGAAGAGGAGGATACACAGAAGTCAGCGATAACAAGCTACAAGAAGGAATAAAGTCAAATGGGTTAAATCCTAAACTAAGGCAACACTACTCCGTTATCCTAGTTCTAAGCCTTCATAAATTCCAATAACAGAAACATATAAAAAGTATAAGTCATGGAGATTACTATAAAGGCATTAAAAAGAAGACAGAGATGCTACACTACTCGGGTACCCTTGTCTTGAGTCTCCATACTTTCCTATCAGAGGTCATGTCCTCGGTAAGAGCTAATTCCTTCAAATCAGATCTCAAGCAGTCTACCCACTTCCTCCTTGGTCATCCTCTCCTTCTGGCACCGTCGATTGTAATCGACTTTACTCTTCTGATCGCATCCGACAGTTGTTGCCTAAGGACATGCTCAAACCACCGTAGTCTTCCCTCCCTCAATTTTTCGGATACAGGCACAACCCCCAAGGACTTCCTAATTGCAGAGTTTGGTGTCATGTCTCACAAAGTCCTACCACATGTCCATCGAAGCATTCTCATTTCTGCAGCCTCCATCCTCCTTACGTGATCCTTCTTGATTGCCCAACATTCTGATCCATACAGCAGTGCTGGTCTTATTGTAATTCTATAAAATTTTCCCTTAAGTTTTAGAGATACCTTCTTGTCACACAAAACTCCAGTTGCAGCCCTTCATTTTAGTCATCCCACCTTTATACGGTGTGTAATGTCATCATTTATACCCCATCTTTATGTATCATAGAAACGATCAAAACTAAACCAAGAAATAAATAGAAGGCAAAATACATAATTCACCATATAATTTTTATAGTAATTTATCTTATATTTTGTGTAATTTATAAGGTTATTAAAAAAATTGTAGCAGAGATTGGTTGCATTACTCGGGTACAAAGACAAAAGGAATAGCAGTGACCTTTTTAACAGCTGGTAGGCGTAGCACGTGGCAGTGTGTGGCTGAATTCACTTTTTAATGCCCTATGCATGCCACCTACGTCACACTAATCCAACCCCACTCCTCCCCCTTTATAAACCCCTTTCCCCCGAACTGCACCCACTACCAAAAATATCTTCCTCTTCTTCCCATGGCTGCCTCTGTCGATCCTCTCATCGTCGGTCGTGTCATCGGCGATGTTATCGACATGTTTGTTCCCACCGTCACCATGTCCGTTAACTACGGTGCCAAGCATGTCAGCAACGGCTGTGACATTAAGCCTTCCATGGCTATCAACACTCCGAAAGTCGCCATCGATGGCCTCTCCAATCAGCTTTATACTTTGGTTCGTTGTCTTTTTTCTTTTTCTTTTTTTTACTTCAATTGAGTTTATCTTTACGAACGTTTAATGTTTGTTGATATGCCTGAGTGTGGCAATTGATTATGCATGCTGATGGTTTTTGAACCAGGTGATGACAGACCCTGATGCGCCGAGCCCCAGCGAGCCTAGCATGCGTGAATGGGTTCACTGGTACGTGTTTTGAGCCAATATTTTATAATATAAACATGTAGTTCATCTCCTAAAACATCATGTAGTTCAACTCGTAAAACATCACTCGATTTAGAGTCTAGAGATGGATTAGTGGTGCTCCGTGCTCGAGTTCGGTCACACTTAAAAAAAAAACGAAATTCTCATAGATAATAATTTTATATATTTTTAACTTTATATTTTCTGTTGACGATCTATTTTTATATTTCTAAACTTTTATAATTTTACGCCTTTAAATTTCTAATATAATTTTTTAAGTTTTTATCATATAAAATCTTGTTTTAAAATTTTATGAAATATTACGTTAGTCTCTAATCCGATTGCTTTCTTCCATGTCTCAGGATCGTTTCTGATATTCCCGGTGGAAGCAGCCCCACAAGAGGTATACATATTTATATTGTCTCCCCTAATCAATTGAGGGAAAACATATTTGAGCAGAAACAAGTCTTGCAATTATGATGATATTTAGTTCGATTTTCTTACCAATCTCTTTTATCTCACCCGAGAATTAACCAATTCTTGCATGCATGCAACCCACAATTTTTTCTTCTTTTTTGCAAGGAAAATTGTTTAGAACTGACTCACACTCACTGCATCTTGCATGTAATATATAAAATTAAAAACCTTATTGGCTGTTTCTGCAACCCAATAGTTTTTCCCTAATATTTCTATATTCATTGTATTTTGCAATTGCATGCACCACAGATCTGACACATGGTTAGTTGTTTGAACAACAAGTATCATCCCACCCTAGCTTTGGATTCTCTTACATATTGCCACGTGCAATGTAACGACACTGTCTACGTGACTTCGGTCGGGACAGAATAATATAGTCTTCAAGTTTAATAATCAAGTGAGATTATTTTCAGGGAAGGAAATCCTGGGTTACATGGGGCCACGGCCGCCGGTGGGCATTCATCGGTACATTCTGGTGTTGTTCCAACAGAAGGGACCGTTGGGTGCGGTGCTGCAACCGGCATCACGGGCTAACTTCAGCACAAGGTTCTTCGCCAACCACCTCAACTTGGGGCTGCCTGTGGCCACTGTGTATTTCAACGCCCAAAAGGAGCCCATCAACCGAAGGCGTTGAGTTGAATCTCCACTGCTCTCTCTGTCTCTCTGATTATAAATATATAAATATAGAACTGGTTTGAGTGTGTTGGGAGAGTGTGGTTAAAATGTTGATTAATTATATTTCTTATGTAATGTAGTTTGTGTGCAAGTGTAATAGTAGTACGTTTGAGAAGTTGTATGTGTTCACTTTATATTCGATGCTAAGGTTATACCTCTTTTATGACTCGGTATACAAACAAAACTATATATATTTTTTGGTATATCAATCTATATTTGATCTATCATAATAGTCCAATATGATGGATGATCCTCGTAATCTAGTTTATTTTATTTATAAATATTAAATTTAAACATTGATTTTGTTTAAAATTTAATTTTAATTAGCATTAAATCAAACCATCTCTATCATTCAAAATCAAAGTTGGTTTATAGAATTTCTTCCTCTTTGAATTTCACAAGAATACAACATGATGATGGATCGATTAACAAAAACGTCTGTTGTTAATTATTATTAAGTTTGATTAAGGATAATATGCATTTGGCGGTCACTTCTTTCTAACTTTGTTGCTTTCTGCTGAAGCAAGGCAAACTATTCTAAATGGGGATTTCAGGCCCTTTCACCCCTCGTACGACAGTCTTTTAAAAATTTACAAAATGAAAAGAAAATGGTTAGTCACTTAGCAAAATTGAAACTTCTTTTATTCGCCAAATTGAAACTTGAATGAATTGTACTACTTCAACCAAAAAACAAACACAAATACTAACTTCACAGTGTTGCTAATTTAAGTTTGAAGAATAAACTACTACTCTTTATGTTATCCTTGAACCTGCACTAAACTTATATGTTGTCTTTAAATGTTTATATAAGTGCTTACTTCTGGAATGTTATTTGATGCATTTTGTAAACTATCATGGAATAATGACTTGGGTGAATACCGTGCTAGTTTGAAACATATTTGACTTTGTTTTCACTGTTTAATATCATGTATGTTTGTAGTGTATAATTTGTAGTTTTTGATATATCTAACTTGGTATGTTTATTGTTTTTGTAGAAATTTTTTTCGGCTCAATTGACCTTAAGGAATAAATTAAGCATAGCCACTAAAATTACGTCGACGCTTACACCTCTACAAAGAAAATTGTTTGAGGATACTTGCTTCGGGCCATGGCTGAAAGTACAACATCCGGGTGGAGATACTATGTTGACACATTTGTTTCTTCATACCATGACTAACGATCTACCCGATGGGGTACAACGTGGTGATGAAGAGATATGGTTTCATTTTCCTCCGGCACCAGCGTATACTTGTTTTGGGCGGGAGGAGTTTTGCTTAATCACCGGTCTACGCTTCGGACACGATGATGTAGGTCGGTACACTAGTCATATCGCCCGCCTATCATGGTTATATCGGGTTTTTCCTGAGCTGGCAAAGTCGAAGCCGAGTATACATGTCGATGACTTGAAGAGATTATTTGATAAAGATGGTTTTACTCGGATGGATGACCTTGATGTTGTCCGAGTATGCCATTTACTACTTTTGCATGCCGGTTTTTTAGGCAAAGAGGGCATACAACCAATCTCTGAGGACCTAATATTATTGGTAGAGGACCTAAATGCATGAAACCTATTTCTGTGGGGTTCATATATATGGAAAGCTACCTGGAAGAAGTTGTCGTCTGCCTTCGAAGACCGAAAAAGTTTGCGGGGCGATGGTTCTAAATACACTTTGACAGGCTTTACTTGGGCCTTTAAGGTAAGAATTTTTATATAATGTTTCCAAAATTATAATTAATTATTTAACAATTACTAATGTTTTTGTATTATATTGTTTGTAGATTTGGATATTTGAGTCTTTCCCCAGCATGCGGACATATGCGATAAAAAGATCAAATGATATTCCTAGGGCTATTACCTGGAAGAGGAAACGCATGTTGGATTGGGAAGACTTACTCCCATATACGACGATTAATGATGTAAGTTAACACACAAATACTACCATATATAAACAAGTTATTACTAGTACACGTTTAACTTTGTTTGAGCTTTTATATTGTTAGGAGGACAACTACCCATTACAGAGGCTGACACCCTCAGATGCTGAGTTTGCCACTGATTGGTGGCAAGCTAGTAAGTGGTTTTTTGATGGGACGGATGATGAGTACCCCCCACTTCGAGAGCCATCACCCCATTGGGCCGATTCTATAGCTCGACACCCGGAGTCATCACCTGGTCGAGCCTCTTCTCCACCTCCACCATCACCTATTCCATCACATCATCGAGCCTCTTCTCCACCATCACCTCATGATAGGCGACCAGCAAAGAGGCTCTGTCTATCCTCATCTCCCTGTTCTCCACCTCCACGGGATGAGTTAGGGGAATTACGTTATGAGGTCGGTGTTTTACGTCATGAGGTTGGTACTTTACGTGAAGATAATGGTGCATGGCGTGATGAGGTTCGATCTTTACGTGGTAAGGTGGATTTTTTACGCGATGACAATGGTGTGCTACGCGGTGAGGTATCTACCTTACGTGATGAGGTTGCCGCTCTACGCGAGATTATTTCATTGTTGCAGAATGAGGTTAATACTCTACGCAATGAGGTAAATTTGTTTAATACTATACTAAAAATGCAAATAACTTTTTTTCGGCATTATTTATTTATTTATTTACTGATTTATATATTAATTTATTTTCAGCGGCCCGTTAAGGTAGATGCTTTACGTCGGGTTTTTCTTGTACGATGGGGTTCACGCATCAGACGTCGTGCACGTGCCATTACGTCTCCGTTCACCCTACTAGTGCCAAGACTCTGTAAGAATAAGCCCGATGCACCTATCATCATTCAAGAGGCGCATCCTATCGTTCAAGAGGCCCTATCATCATCGAAGAAGCCCCTCCCACCTTTCAAGAGGCCACTGTCATCGTTCAATTGGTCTCTCCCGCCGTTCAAGAGCCTGATTCATTTGGTGTCATATGTAGACATATTGATAAACCACCTCCCGTACCCGATATGATGGATGCGTGTTAGCTTTCGTATGAGTTACCGGCCAGTACCATTCCTCAGCAGGAGATGAAAACACTACCGGACACAATTACGGATAATACCCTTTGGGCTAAGACCGCAGTTGATTTTTATCTATATGAGCAGAGCAAGGGGTATTATTCTGACCTATGCCAAATCGACGATGCTATTCATTTGTTTCTTGATCAGTCTTGGTAGGGTATTTTATTAGGGGTTGAAGATAATGGCTACCTCGAAGGGGGTAAGTATTATATTCTTCTTATATTGCATTTTGATTAATTTTTTTAAAATTATTAATAAATTCACTAATATATTTATTTTTTTTATAAAATAACATATTGATGCATGGGTATCGTCACGTCTTCTAATAATAAGAAAATTGAAGAAAAGAGGTATTCGATGGACTATTATGCCGACATCTTTTCACGCAGCTCACTTGAAGGATCAGAGAGATGCTTCATATAAGTTGGCTAATGGAAAAGGTAAACTTTATCCTACATGGCGGGAGGTCGATAAGGTTAGTATTTATTTTTTGAATATTTTAAAGGTTTTCATAAATTTTATTTGATATGCGCAATTATTTATGATTGCAGATGTTTATCCCTGTTTTGGAAAAGCGTCATTGGCTTCTCGTCGAGCTTTAGCTCCCATCCCTGAAGACAGTGGTATATGACATCATGTTGAATTACATACTATTGTCTGATTTGAGAGATATTATTACAAAGAGATGGAGCGATCATTTGGCTAAATTCTTGAATGCGATTGATTATTGGACAAAATCTGGAAACAAGAAGCCAAAGAAGTTCAAAAGTACAATGATCAGAGACGAGACTGCGCCACAACAAACGCAGGGAGCCAGAGGGGATTGTGGTCCTCTCGTATGCTTGTGCTTGGAACGATTGACGACATGAAGTATACAATATATACCTCCCACAGATAGAGATAGAGCTGCAGTAGGCTTGTGGTTTCGGTATTATATGACCAGATCGATATATTCGAGACACTGCCTACCTGCATACACGTGCTGAAAGTTGTACATAAACAATTGGTAAGTTTGAGCAAGTGTTGTTAACATATATACTCTTTAATTGGTTTGAAAATATTTGGTTAAGTACCTAGAATTTAGTAATTTGCTGTTTGTTGGTTTTAGATGTGTAGAAAGTGTTGTTTGAGCAAATGTTTGGTTTCTGCAGGTTAATCCTGAAGTGAGCTGCGTGAAATGTATTTGTGCATAAACAACAGTCTAGGGTACACTTTTTTTCTTTGTTTAATTGAATTTTACATTGAAAGTTGATTTGTTACAATTGATGAGGAAATAAGATTTATTTTTGATTAATTGATTTGTAAAAGTTGATTTGTAAATAAGAATTATTTTTTTGCTTGTTTAATTGATTTGTAAAAGTTGATTTGTTGTTTCTAAAAAATTCAATCTGCATTATGTTTGAAGGCAAAAAAGACTTGTTGAAGGTACAAATTCGCAACGCGAAAGTCAAATTCGCAATGCGATTTTCGGTTTACGAATTTGACTTTTGCGTTGCGAATTTGACTATCGCAACACTTATTTCGTGTTGTGAATTTAACTTTCGCGTTGATCGCAACATATAACATCAAGGTATATACAACATCAAACACATTCCAAGCTATAAATACAAGCTAAGGACACTTGAAGAAGCAAGAGAACAACTATCCAAGCAATCAAACACGAGAAAATCCCAACATGATAACAACTGAACAGATCATATCAATGTTCAAACTCAAGTTACTAATGAATGTCTAACTGAAAATGTATGCATTCACACATAAAATACACATAATACAACGTTTTCATTTAAAAATCAACTAAGTTAATAAATCTCAAAAGGTGAAGCCGGTTGTGATTGTGATTTTGATTTTGATTGCGATTTTGATTTCTTTTTGCTTGACACCATATGAGCTTTGGATTTTGATGATGATCCATTTTTTGGTAGAGGAAAAGATGATTGTGATGACACTGGTGATCCACAGGTCAACCTTGTATGACCACTCTCCTTGCACTGACTACATGTCGATATCCTCTTCTCTTCACCCTTAGACGGTATACGATCGTGATTTTTTGGTCGGCCAGGTAGCCTACTGTCCATGATTGGTGGCAAAACTGTTTGTAAGTCATCTGGTATGTCCCACTCAGAAGGATGTGGACATTGGTAGACAATCTCAACATAAGTTTGTCAATATACTTCTTTAGTGTAGCAATCCATAGCGTATGCGCTTGAATCATCTTGGTTTAGATGAAGAACAACTTTTATAACATGGTCACACGGATAACCAGATGTTTGCCATTTCTTACAACTACATGTCTTTGTATTTAGATCGACAAGCCCATTTAAATTATTATCCAATACTTCAAACAAAGTGTTTGAACATGGTTCAACTCTCCAGGACGTTGATTTCACAACATGTTTCGTTATCTTTTTTTCAGTCCATGGTGTAACCCGACGTTCCAATGTTCCTGTAAATTTAAATAAATAATACTTAGTAAAATATATGATAAGTTACGAATTTAAAGAAATAATACCTGCATGGTTTCTTTTCTTGTAGTACCACTGTTGAATAGAGGCTCGAAAAAACTCCATTAACATAGTAATGGGTAATTTCCGGGAATGACAACTTAGAGCATTGATTGATTTTGCACTATTAGACGTCATGAAACCATATCTTGCTCCAAGTTGATGTACTCTTGACCATCTTTCAAACCCGACATCTTCTAGTGTTTGAGTACATTAAGGCAAAACACGTCTTAAACAATTTATATGCTTATTAAAATCCACTTCCCGATAAGCTTTTATAGCCTTCCAGTATGTCCATTTGTGATTTTTTATACCAGCAGACCTTGATTTTAGATTTTTGTACAAATAAACACCACAAAGTCCATGAAAAGCATCTGAGAAACACCTTCTAACAACGTTGTCAATTGAGTTTGCCCTATCGGATATGATTGTCAGATTGTTAATAGGACCTATGCAATCCCTAAGATGCCCATAAACCATGTCCATGAATCAGAGGTTTTAGATTTGCCAACCCCGTAAGCTATTGGCAGTATCCTATTGTTAGCATCCATGACTACTGCTAATAAGTTTACTCCAAGGTATCAACCTTTCAAATGTGTTCCATCAACTATAATAATTGGGCGCATGCAAGTAATAAACGAACGAATCTACAAAATCATATACACAAGAAATATAATCATTTAAATGTGAAATGCATGCAACTAACAAAAATGAGTCAACAAAATTATAATTATTTACTAACCGCAACACCAATGGCGATAAACAGCAACTCAAAGCGTCCATCTCTATCTGTTTTGATATGAGTTACCGACCCATGATTTTTCAGCTTTAAAATGTGACAATAAGCCGACAGTTGGGCAAACGATGCTTCTGGCGACCCCCTTAACAATTCCAAGGCATAACATTTGGCTCTCCAAGCTTGAGAATATGAGATATTAATCTTGAACCGAGCATTCATGTCAGTCATAATTTCATGTCCCCGATATACCCTTCCATTCAAAAACATTAACTCAGCCAGAAAATCACCCAACACCTTTTTGTTTGCCTGTCTATGGTGAGGAAAAACTTGGGTTCTTGAACATGTATGTTTATCAATAAAAGTCCTAACTTGAAACATTTCGCAATCTTTTATCCTCTTAGAAATCATACGCCACGTACAGTTTTTGTCAATCATACACCTTGTTTCGAAACGATCTTTGCTTGATTTGTTAACTCTTAGTTGATAGTCATCTTCCACACATTTCGTATACAAAGTTATCTTCAAGTCTTCCTTTGTATCAAAACAATCATCTTTCTTTATATGAATAACTTTTGTGTAACAATCAACTGATATCTTTACCAACTCTTCTTCCGGTATCTGAAGTAATTCTGGCATATTCCAGTTATACTCCCGTGGCATTTTCTTCTTTTTCTTTTCTTCGGGGACTTCTTCTTCTTCTTTTTCTTTTTCAGGGTTATATGAATTACATAATGGATGTTCAACATGTTCATTCACAGTCGTAACTTCCTCCTCATTATCATCAATATCTTCCTTGGCAGCGGCTGTTTCATCATCAAAATTCAGATTTTAACCAATATCAAAATCATTACATGCAAGGTCTGTTTCTTCTTCCATCACATCATCAAAATCCGAGTATTAACCAAGATCAAAGTCTGAGTATTGACCAAGATCAAATTTCGAATACTGACTAGTACTCACAATTTTTTCTGTTGGCTCATAATCGTCTAACTGGTCAATACGAAAACTGGAATTTGGTGCTGAAAGTTGATTGGGATTTGGATTAGGAAAAGGTTGTGGGTTTTGAGATTGTGTTTGATATTGTGTTTGGTATTGGAAATTTGGTGAAACAAAATTTGCTTGGTGATGAAATTGTGGTGGAACCATTAAATTTTGGGTTAAAGAACTTAGTTGATTACTACCCGCTACTGACCCAACTTCACTACTTCTAGGTTCAACAACATATAATGTAACATCATCTTCTTACGAAACACTAATGTAAGCAATGAATCGTTCAACATCTTCATTGCCGGTTAACAAATAAACTTTACCTTTTCTCAGATAAGATAGCCTAAATCCACTTAGAGGCTCTAAATTCAATTTCTTTGCAACACGTAACATTAGAGTTTCATAAGTTAACTTTTTTAATGACAGTTTTAGTTGAAGATTCATGGGTAAAGGCACATATTGTAAACCACCATGAACATTCTCCCATGACCCTCCAAAACACAAATCTATCCAAACATGATCAACATTAGATGATTTCATTCTAAAAATTGTAAATTAATTTTCTAAACAAACGAGCTATAAACTAGATATCATCACTAACTTAGAGAAAAACATACCTTTATTAAGTTGATAGTTGATAATTTGGGAGAGAGATCATTGAAAAATTATATAGAAATAAAATTATGTAAAAAAAATTAGAGATGGGGAAGGATGTCGTTGGATATAGGAACGAATGTCGTCGGAGAGAGTGATAGATGGAGATGGAATGAGTTGCGATTTAGGGATTTAGGTTATGAGTTACTGCTACTGCGTTGTTATGTACCCAAAACATTTGTGTTGCGAAACTAAAACTTGTTGTGAAATTAAATTCGCGTTGCGAATTTGAAATTCAGTTGCGAATTTGACTTTCGCGTTGCGAAATTGGAAACTGGATTGCGAATTTGTTGGTCATTTTGGCAAATCCAAAAAAAGTTGGTTAAATTCGTATATTATAAGGCATTTTTTGTCACTGAGGTTATTTTCTCTTCCTTTAACCATTGAGGTAGTTTGTTTCGTGCCATATTTAAATTATTTAAGTTGTAGTCGCAGCTCAACATGGAGTTATACTGCAGTTATTGGGAGGTAGTTGGTTTGACTATCAAAACACGTGCAGCTGCAACTACTACCAAACACAAATTTACAGAATCATTTCCTCCATAAATTGCATGAATCAGCTTTTGAATGTTTGGTTGCTACTGAAATTTCATGCACCCAAAGGGAAAGATATACCAACTTTATCCTCTTTGTCCTTCCAATACATTTCACCATAAAATATAGACATAATGTTAAAATAAGTCCAACGTTTATTAAATTGGTTATCTTGACTAATATTTTTTTGAATATTTTAACCCCAATGCTTAATTTTGGAGAAAAAAGATCATTCTATGTATGGAAATCGTTAGTTAACAAACAGTTAACGCTCTAAATTAAGAGTATTTTACCCTAAATGATGGGTCAAAATGATCTAAAAAAAGAATAAAAGTTAAAATGACTACTCGGACAAACATTAGGAGCATTTTTACCTTAAAATGAAATGTTGTGGTCAAAATGCTCCAAAGAAAATAAAAATGAAAATGATCATTTTAATAAACGTTGAAGGACTAATTTTGATATTATACTTAAAATATATATTTAGAAGTTTCTAAAAGTGCATCCTCCAACTCTTGAATGGATGGATAAAGAAGCTAAAGATTTAGTGTTGTCG